GTTCTCCAGTTTTTCTTTACAACAGCCCTGTGAGGTAGGTTAAGCCAAAGGAGAATGACTAGGACAAAGACACATAGTAGGTTTTATGGCAAACAAGGATCTGAACCAAAGTCTAAGTTCAGTTTATAGTTCCACTGAATTCAGTTATAACACACTGGCTCTTAGCTATGGTGGGCATACCCAGAACTCTTCTGGGATCAGTGAATTAACACTTAATCCAAAATAAAAAATTTATGTTGGGGTCTTTGAGATTGTCAAGAATATAAAGCTAACATTTGAAGCTGTTATTCAGTTTTGATAATCCCTTGACCCATGTCCGTCGTGGCTAATTAAAGCTGGCCGCGAGGGGCTTCGGGGTGCCTTGCGAGAGATTGTCAACAAGTCCCTCCTAGAGGGGCAGTTCCCGGAGGCACTTAAGGAAGCAGTGGTATGCCCCCTTTTGAAAAAGTCATCTTTGGACCCGACCAAATTGGCCAACTATCGGCCGGTTTCCAAATTGCCCTGTTTGGGCAAGATAATAGAGAGAGCAGTGGCAAGTCAATTACAGAGCTTTCTGGATGACGCTTCTGTTCTAGATCCCTCCCAGTCCGGCTTTCACCCGGGTCACAGGATGGAGACGGCACTGGTCGCCCTCACAGACAACCTCCAGAGGCATCTGGATTCGAGTGGAATGGCAGTGCTGTCCCTTCCCCTCCCACCCCCCCCACGCCAGGGGCCGAGGCAGAGTCCTCTGGTTGCGGCGTCCCTTCCCCTAAAAACCCCCCCAACGCCAGGCCCAGCGAGGCAGAAGCCTCCGGCCGTGTCGTCCCTTCCCCTCCCACCCACCCCCCAACGCCAGGGCTGGCAAGGCAGAGGCCTCCGGCCGCAGGGCCCGTTTTCCCTCCCTCCCCCACCCACTCTAGGGCCGGCAACTGGAGGTCATAGGGTCTACCCTCCAAAGCATCCATTTTCTCCAGGGGTACTGATCTCTGTCATCTGGAGATCAATTGTAACAGTGGGAGATCTCCAGGTCCCACCTGGAGATTGGCAACCCTAGGGGAAAGTCAGCTGCACAGCAGGGGGTTGAAGAGAATGGTT